GGCAATTCTTTGGATTTCTTAATTTGTAGTCTTATATATTTTTTGGACTTGGCAGTGCATAGACACTTTTATTGTCAAAAGTAACTCCTATGTTGGCTTTTTACTTTGGAAATCGTTGTCTCATTTTTAGCAACAAAATGATCTGTCCCATCAAACTATATCATCAAAAACTTTGGATTACATACAAATTATTTCTGTCTTATCGTCGTTTAACCTCAGTTTGTTTGATGTCGTCCAGATCTTGACTTTGTTTACATATTATTGTGTTATGCTTTGAGGTAGATTAAATGCGCGCTGCCCGGCTCTGATGACATATATAGCGGGGTGTCGTCTGTGTACATGTGATGAACTTTTATCACTTCATATGAAGAAACTACATAAATGGTGTTTTATGCAAGGTGTACAGCAGTGGTCTTGAAACAGAACTCTGTAGTATCCCGTAATTCAAGCTGTATATAGCTGATTTTTTTCTGGCTATAATAACAGACTGTGAACGCCTCGATAGGTATGACTTGAACTATTCAAGAACAGTACAAGAAATTCCAAAGGTTTTTTCCAGCCTTTCTAATAAAAATGAATTGATCAATAGTATCAAATTTTAATAATGCTGCCCTGAATCAACCCTAATACTGTGAGCAAATGCTACCTACGTGCTGCACATAGGAGATCTTTGTAAACTTTTGTCTACGCAGGTTCCATATTATGTAACCTTTTGTACGCAAATCGGAAGGACTCCATGAGACCTTGCTTTTCAAGTTCATTATTTAGTTGACGATTGATTACTTTTTCAAAGATTTTTAGAAAGAAATGAAAAATTTGAGACTGGTTCACTTTAACAAAATTGCCTAAAGGTATGAGGTCGAGGCAACAACTAACTCCTGCTGCACGGGATCACATCGCTCAGTTCAAAATGTTAATAAATAATGATATATCTACATCAGGCAACAAACCCTTTTAAAGTTACTTCTTTCAAACCCCTCCCACCCCACCCCAAACGCGAAT